AATAAGAACTATTATTATATTTAGAAAAATATTATATTTATTAAGTAATATTGTTATTAAGGATTATTATTCTTAGTACGTAGGTACCTACATCAAGTTTATTAACACAAAAACTACTCTTTAGAATTTTGAATTAGATGCTTTAATATTTTATAAAAATAATCCGATTAACAATTTACAGTAAATAAAGGTGGTTTTAGTTTGAAAAAATAAGTTTGTATTGCTGCAGAATATATACTTAAGGCTTAAATATTACACTCAACCGAAAACCAATAGTAATTTTGACATGCGTGTATGTTAATATTCAACAATATGAAATAAAAAAACCATTTTAATAGGTTTTTTCAAAATATATTGTCTATAATATACTCAATAAAATTCTAAAAATTAGAATTTTAATAAATGCACTATTAAAGGATAAAAGTGAGGTGACAATGTTTAATAAATCATCATGTTTATCAACCCTCATAAAATTAGCAGCATAACTATGACAGTACACAAATACATGACTATATTCTTCACCATTTGTTGTTGTCGGATGTTTTCCGCGTCCCTAACATCGTTTGATCACGGATAGCCATTATGTCATTTTTTCTACTCTTATATCATTATGTGTAGGTCCATATGAAATGCTGTGATTTAAATTTTCACTACTGTTGTGCCCGTGTGACATGGGGATGATGGCCTTCTTAAGATTAAAACCACCTCTACGATATCCCTCGGTGGTTTAGTACAGACAGTTTTCATATACCATCCATTTAATAATAAGGTCCCTATAGCTAGTTGGTGATATGTGCGAGCTTAGTAATACTCAAAAAAAGTTGGGAACTTATTATATATGTATAAACGTAAATGTTTGATATCTTGAACGCAACAGAGTCTTGCTGCAGACAATTGACGAACGATTCCTTTTTTTCAGATGAGAATAAAAAATATTATATACAATTGTCGTGGTCGAATCTAGTCTTGATTCTCTTGTTATTTCAAAAATATTTCGTAGGTATAAGTATACAATGAATAATGATAATGCACATTTTTTTGGGCAAAGACTATATCCTCAAAAATTCCTACCCTTATAATACTAGTTTTGCCATTGGGCTTATATAGTAATTATTATATTACATTTTAACGAGCTTTAATTTTTCACCACTTGACATTATCATTTAATATTATGACTGCGGTCTGCGATTAACAGGATACAATTATTATTAATATTTTGAATTTTCAGAAATATGTGTACGTATATGATACTGTTACATGGAAGGACGGTAATGAATGCACATTCGAATTTTCCTTTTTAACACAAAATTCCTTGCGTACACCTGTACTATAATATTTATACATAAATTCCATGCCTGCAGCCATTACAAAACATAAAACCTCATTTTTCGATTTACGACCGTTATATTATATTTAATATATTATATAATATATATATTTGTTACAGTAAAACCACGGTTCGCTGGATATAATATGGTGCTGTTTACGGCTGCCCGTAATACGTGTACAGAATCTTTAACGTGATTTCGAATTAAATATACCATTGTACGTTTCAATCAATTTTGGAATTCTTGGTACGCTGTGGGTTTGAATGTTATTACTATTATATTATTATATTGCGCAGTCTCGTAAAACTTTTTAACTTTTAAGATATACACACTTCATAACATTGACATAGTTTCGCAAAGAATTCACGGGTAAATTTAAAAAAAAAATATTTGAACAAATTCCGAGTCTATTATACTTTAAGACCTTTAAGAATATGTATAAAATTTAATTTATAGTTATAACCTTAAGTTACCTCATGACTTATAACTATTTCGTTTAATTTAAAAAAGACGACTATTTAAAGCTGAATTCGATACTACACAATATAATCTGATAATAATTATATTCATTGTAAATAGCTAAAAATATAATGGAAATAGGTATTATGAATTAGAATATTAAAAACTAGTAACATCATGTACTAAATAATTATCCTCACGAATTTCATAAAACATTAAGTGAACTTTTGGCAATTTAAACAATGTAACATTGTAACCCGACCAAGAAATAATGTTGGATTCGTTTTTACTAACATAAAAGTGATTTTTTAAACAAAATTTTATTTTTATGAATATCATATATATTTCTTATACATATATTTAAAAAATGTTTAATATTTTTCCTTGGTATTATATTAATATTTGTATGATACCATAATTTGTAAATTTCTTATCATTTATATCATAATGGCAAAAGTATACATTTTTAATTATAACTTTGGCCAAATAGATTAAAATTCCCAAGTCTGTTAGATCGAGACGGAAATGTTAAAATATTCATAGTGTAATCCTCATCAAAACAAATTAGTCAGCCAAAGCCAACTATAGCGTAAAATGTTTCTAAAAGAATTCGGAACCCAACGTTTGTATAGCAATTTTAAATTTGAGATCTAACTCAGATACAGCCGATAATTTATAACACGAAAATATTATTTTAATAAATAATAATTAACCTAACCTAGAGCGGTCGACGTGTTCCGAAAAAGAAGTGATTTTGGATTGTTGGTTAAGAAAAAAAGAGGGGAAAGGAAAACCTAATCCCTTTGTGGTTGTCCTCAAATAGTGCGCTTGATTATTGTAAACGGTTTACTTTTATTCCGTGATTTTCGAAACGCCGCGGCGGCAAAAAGTGTAATATTGATTTTGTGCCACTCTGCAAGTACATCGCGCTAGTAGACGGCAGTTTTCAGTCACGGCCATCACTCGTCGCCGACCGAGGATAATGGGCAGGAGTGGGTGGCGGACGGATGGTTGCGCGTTGGACCTATTACTTTTGAAAAAATGAAACAAAAAAAAAAGAGGAAAAAAACAGAACGTACCACGCGAGAAGGTGAACGCAATGGGGAGAAGGATAAAGTTTGAATTTCGACGCTGACAAAAGCCGTAAATAAATATATATATACGAGGGGGATTTATATTTTCCTTTTTTACCCGCGCTCAGTAAATATACTTATATTTCGATGGTGAAATAATAACATAATTTCGGTTCATTTTCAAAAATAATATACGCACGAGTATACGTAATTTGAAAAAAAATTTGCGATATAACTTGGTTTCGGTTATTATTATTATATTATATAATGTACGGCGCCGTTGGGTTTGTTTTTCTAAAGTTTTCTAAAAGGTCCGGGTGCTAATTGTATTAATTGAACAAACGCCTGTGAGTCGCCCGTGAATCGTTGCATTCCTCCGTGTGTGGTGCATACCAAAACACTCATATGTAGGTACACACGTATTATAATTCCAGTGATTTTTATTTGAATGTCAACACTTAATTTTTAAAAAAGGAATTAACATTTAGAAAATACTTTTTTTATATGATTTGAAGACATTAAAAAATAAGATTTTACTAATTTTTATAGTTATAATTTTTTAAGTTGTATACGTTTTTTAATGACAACATATTATTATTGTATTATTGATTTTATATTCTGGAGCGGAATATTTTTTTGAAAATTTCAACAAAAATATTTAAATTGAAACTTATTTTGTAGTTATATAACGTGCAAAGTATTAAACGTTTTGATGAGAAGTGTAGTGGAGTGGCACACGAATATTCCGTAATAATATGCTGGTCTGGTTCACTACTATACGCGCTCATCGAAGCTTTAATTAATATATTTTATATTTCATTAACCACAATACCACATTTATTTAAAATTCAAATAGTTTCGTATAAATATTATTAGAATCGTTAAAAAAACATTCTGACTAAGAATAAGTAATTAAAATTTAAAAATGTACAGTACTATAATAGTGTCATTAAAGGAAAGTAAAAACTAGTGGTCTGGTGTGGCACTGTGATTGGCTTCAGTCACAAACGTGTTCTATGGTCAAGCATCGGTGGGTGTTTCTAGTTCCCGGATGGGTGACCATACGGGTTTTAATGACAAATCTGCATCACATATAGCCATATAAGTACACATGTTTTTACTACCGTACACTCCTCCCCTCCCGTTAAAAATCTATACTAAATAAGCTTCAGGATAATGACCATAGATGTTGAATCCTTAACACAATAAGACATTTAAAAAAAAAGTAAAAATTGAAAAATGATAACGATAATGATAACATTATAGTTGTTTTTAAATGTGTCTGTATTATAATATATAATTACTTGAAATCACGACAAAGAATATTTCCAAAAACGTTAATACTTTTCAATAAAATGATAATGTTTTCATATAAAAGAATCACCTTGTATAATACAACTGTCACGTGTTCGTCTTACACTTATAAGTTATATCTATATAATATATTATGTTGCACCTACAATAAAATACGGTACATATAGGTGCGAGCGTGGTTGTAATTTCCGTACGTGAAACTTTTTTTTGCTCCCCCACCCCCTTGAGTTTCCAAGCTCACAATTTTCACGGTGGAAAAATATTAAAACAAACTATTGTGCAACACGCTAGTGTGAGCGTTTTATTGTTCTCGATTGTTCGCAACGCGACGCGTGCGTAATGCGCATTATATAATATCCATACATAACACTATAATAGGAGCCGTGTGACTTAACCGCGGAATATTATTTCGAGTGTAAAAACGCAAAAGGCGATTTTCAACGTAACATGAATACAGTATACACATCTCCACGAGTTCGCAATAATATACGTAAGCGGTACTTATATTATATACACCTATATACATTATCCTGGGTATATCTATTATATATTATATTAGAACTATATTATATTATAATTATTTATAAGTATATAACATCTAATTAAACGATTTAACTTATGACGCTTCGTATGGGACATAAATGTATTTATATGTGTGTATATAAATGTGTTTATGTATGTATGAATGTATGTATGTTTGTATGTATATGAATATATATGTATGTATCTACGCATGGATACACGTGTGTGTGTGTGTGAGAGAGAGAGAGAGAGAGTAAGCAAACGAAAACGGTGTAAAAAATGAGATTCAATATGTTTCACTCACCGTAAACCGCCTACACCAGACTGATAGCCATTTGATGTCTTTGATGCGTTTTCCGCCCGGCAACCGCAATATGATGTTTGAATTGTTGTGCGTCTGTAGCGGGGGCGGTTCCCTGTGAAACAATAACAAAGATTCGATATATTATATAGATTATCGATTATTTTACTATAATATATTTATTTATATATAATATTAATATTAATATATATATTTTTTTATTTATTTAAGCTTCGACAACTGAGGCCATTAGCTGTAGGTTGTGGTACTGTAGGGTTTTTTTGGAACTGTAGGGTTTTTGGAACTGTAGGGTTCTTGGAACTGTAGGGTTATGGAACACGTGTGTGTTTGTTTAGGAGAATTCCTAGTGGGCACCCGTAGGTTTCTGCCATGCCCGGTTGGGGGGGGATGGCGGCCTCTCTCTCCGGACACCGAGACTGCCCGGAGTGAAGTGCCGCCCGTGACCGAGGTTCGAACCGGCGACGGTGCGCGTTGCAACCGACGCGTTATCCACTCAGCCACTCCGTCCCCCTTTATTAATATATTGTTATATTTAAGGAATTCGTTTTTCTGTTAAGCTTAAATTTTTTAGTTCCCAAAAATCTATTGTTATGTTATTATTTTATTTATATGTATGGTGCATGTAGGATTCTTATGCATCCGACCTTTATTGTGGTGACTTGGACGCAAAAAGTTATATAATTATTAATCATGTCATTACTAGCCTATTCTTCAATAGTTAACCAGTCATAGTTTATTTTAGTAGGTACCTATAAAATGTTACAGTATATTCCACCCACAGAAAACATTTGTACGTTTTACCTATATAATTGTAGTGACAGCTATAATACGTTGATGGCAGACAAATCAAAAAAGTTTTATATAAACTACCTGTACATAATATGAGTACCTAAGTATATGGATTTAATTCGGAGACACTGAAGCAAACATAAATAAGAAAAAAAAAATTATTTATTGGAAATTGAATAAATACAATTATAAATAGTTTTTAATCCACTGAAGCTGTTGTTAGCTAAAAAATATTTGTCTTCCAAGTATTAAATTATAATTTTTAATAAAACTAGGAAATTAGATACTCTAAAAACATAATAATTTCAACAAAAACTTTTTATATAATAATAATATGCACTAATAGACATTATTAAATTATATACAATACGCGTATAGTGTATAAATATTTGTCCAGGATGAGAAAAAAAAATTACATCATATTGAATATTTTGTACAGAATATACTATATACCTAGTATAATAGGTGGTATTAGATGTGAACCGACATTATTGTTTGCTTAACCGATTCAAGTATGATAAAATACAATATATTGTATTATTGTTCTATTTATATATAGGTATACGATAAGGTTGGCGTATATGAAAACAAAAGGTTCTTCTAGGAAATGCAATTTTTTATTTTAAAACTTGAAATTTATTTCTAGTCAAATAATTTTGCAATCCTATATTTCAAACTGCACGATGATTGAAAATATAACAGCTCTTGTCTTAACTCCATGTAATATAAATAATCTATACTATATTGTGTATAAATTATATTATATTTACATAACTGTGTAATTTCATCGTACACACAATCGTCAGTTGTCAGGCATACTTGTAATAATATTTTGTTATTCACTAGTGATATATTATATCTATATAATTTTATTTTTTGAGCGTATTACATACTATAATATTGTCACCACTCATCGTACAGTATACGACAATTATTATGGGGATTTTCGTAAGTGGGAAACATTTTCTCCAAGTGGCCAGAGGAGAAAAAAAAATTGGAATAGATTTTAGTGAGATCGTTTTTGAAATAAAGTCGGCTCCCTTATCAGATATTGGAAAAATAAAACAGCGACAGTGGTGTAACAAAATTGCCTGTAAATGTTGCCGTGTTTTCATAATATTTGAATAGTGAAATGCATTAAAAATAACATTATTATAATATCAATCATATTACTTTAAAATTAGAAAAATTTTAATTTAATTTAAATTTAAAATAAGTAGTATACAATCTACATCAGTTGACACAATAAGCACATAGACTAAGATGAGTAAATAAGAAACACAGGTAAGGTGACACAATTTTAATAATTAAGAAAAATCAGATACTTAATGAATAGACAGAGGTATAGATTGAAGTGCAGAGTTATTAGTTTTACTAAATAGTTATAACAATATTAATAATATTATATTATGTTGTGACAAATGTTATAATGTTATCTAATGTAGAAAAATATTGATATCCCGACAACCCGACGACAAGATTTCTACACGAAGCTTTTAATTTTTCTTTTCTTTTTTTCCGCCATGAAATGGCTACCTAACTGAATTTATCCATTTTATTTTTATTAGCAAAATAAACGAGAGTGGAGTGATTTTTTCACAGCGAAAAACACTTACCTATGTAAAATAGTCGGTACACACCAGGAACGTAAGACACGTTCAAGAAATCGCTCTACATATACATTACGCACGTAGGTACCACTTATTCGAGTAACCGAATAAAATTATAATAATATATTATATTTGAGTATTGGGTTTACAGAATTCGTCACGGCGTAGACTTGATAATATACATCCACAATCCACGTATACATTATATAAATCCGCGTTTAACAAATCGATAGATATACAACATACATATTTTATCGTGTGCGAGTACGCGTTAACGGTAATTGTATTTAAACTATTATAAAAAAGAGAAGTACGAGAACGAACGGAATGACAAGAAGCGAAAAGTGCAAAAAACTGGAGATGGGTGTCTAATAAATATGAAATCATCAGAATTTTACAAATATTGTCCATCAATAATTATTAATATTTATTACCAAACCAAATTAAATTCTGTTATTTTAAGCGCTAGATATTATGTAATTATATATAGCCAAATAGTTACTAGAAGTACAACTTGTGTTGCTACTGCTACAATACATATACATAAATGCCTGATTAGAACCTAACAAAACCTACAGACCGAAGTTAAGAACTCAATTAAATTCAAGTCTCGTGGGTAATTTGAATCTCAAAGAGAATAAAAAATTCTTATGTTTTTTTCCAGCTGTTAACATTTAATATCCCGAACACAAAAACACAACAATAAGGGGAAAGAAAAAAAATTGAGTTATCGAGACTAGAATGTATTATGTAAATTTATAATTAAGTCCTTAGTCAGTTATAAATATTAGTAACTAACCCAAATAACCTAACCCACCTAACCCAATAACAGTTACAATATTATAGGGAGTGATTTTTTAAGCATACTCACCCCATTGCTATGTTTAAATTATGCATATTATATCAACATTTTGATTTTATGAATTCTTAAGTATAGGTAGTTAAAGACGATATTTTAGAGTACTTAGATATCCCACAACATTTAAGGAGTATCTTTAAAAAAATTGGTTTTTTCAAATGAAAACTTCTATAATATTCTAATGAAAATTGTAAACTACTATAACATTCTGAAATCGTTTTCGTATCGTAATCAACATTTGAACGAAAAGCTTTTGAGTTATTCTATTTTAAATACTAAGAATTATATTTTATTAAATACTTTGTAAATGACACGAGTTCGTTAATTACAGTAAGGTATGTTATATTATAAAGTATTTGTTTATAATAATCATCACTTAATCAATTATATTCGGATACATTTTTATTGTCACAAAATGTTTATGGATTAAATAGGTAGTCATCCGATCATTTTCAACGCAAAAGTGAATAATATCGTTTTAATAAGCTTATTTATACTATCCTAAGTTATCATATAAAAATTAAAATTTGGTATCTTCGATACATATTAAATGTTGTGAAAAATTCAAGTATTCTGAAATATCGTCTTTAACTACCTTTATTTACAAATACCAAAAATCAAAATTTTAATATAATATGCATAATTTAAACACAAATATTTAGTGAGTATACTTAAAATCACCCTGTCTATGGATATGCGAACTAGTTGAAGCCATGATAATATATAGACAGTATATAAGAAATAAGAAAAGATGGAAAGTAATTTTTTGGCGGCGGTCGCTATTGATCAATAATTGTGTCAATAATTAAATGTGCTTAATTATTTTAAATTGTGTGTGTTTCGATTTATTATCGTACGTCTGAAGTTATCGGTGTATCCGGCAATAATATTATGTTATAGTGGTGAAAACGTTGTTTATTCCCTGAATTGACTATATTAGCCATCGTGGAACATAACTTTAAGTTAAGCAAACTACATACTATACAAAGGCGTATGGAATTACGAAAAAAAGGAATTCATTATTTTAAACGTTTATAAGATTTTAATTATTATATCATAACTTATCTAAATACCTAATGTTCCGATGACGATGTTATTTTAAAATATCCAAATTACCTACCTACCTAGTTCGTAATTTTATAATTTCTGATTGCTTCAGATGAAAAAATTTGTATTCATATAATCATTTTAATTACGATACATTTTATATGCAATCTCCTTCACAAAATTACAAAAGAACGATTAATATCCAGGAAAATGCAGTGACTTTGCATATTGCATATTAAATATATAATACATAACTAGCTTCCGTTAAAAGCATCAAGTTTTATGGAGTGCTATTAATCCTGTTGCATTTTAACGAGAAACATACGCTTTAAATTATTCAAGAAAACCCCTATCTTAAATTGCACTGTTTTAAAAGTTTATGAAAATTAAAATCTAGTTATTCATAATGGTATGATTACTATATTATTATAATATTATTTTGTCGCCTTATATTATTGTTTAAATTAAAGCCATTTCGCCTAAACATTAAGTGGTACAGGTACTCACACTGCCGGATAGTCCTCTGGATATGGAATTGTAAATCCGTCCGGAGAAATTCTTGATGATTTTCCAGCCCAAAAATAAGCAGCTGCAATGAAAATAAAAACCAGACATATTAAAAATTAAGAAAATTATTTTTTTTTTAATAAACCAAAACTAATGTTAAATTACTTGAAATTGTCACATAAAGTGACATTATTTATTGAGTGTTGGCATAATGTCTTAATTGTATAAGAAACATTAGGATATCGTGTAAGACCCATTAATTGTTATGCCTACCCAACAGATTCCGTTATTAATATATCACTTCTCCAAGGAGCTTAAATGAAGCTGACACAGTATATTACGAAAATGACTAAGGAACTGATCAAATATTATCTTTTTAAGATTTTATTTGTGAAAATTTACATTTTTTTAAACACCTAAGTATAATTTATGGTTGATTCAAGTAAACAATAAATCAATATTTGTATAGTATAATTTTTTAATAGGCTTAAAATTAAAATAAAAAAAATCATTGGATTTGAAAATATAAATAATTTATTTTATCCTGCAGAATATTTTAATATAGTGAGCGAAATAACAAAATTGCAGTTGTCGATATTGGCAATATTCTGTTGTTCAAATTATTTAGTTTAATATTTATTAACAGTATGGAGTATGTTTCTATATGAATTACATTTCTTCAAACATCGATTTACAAAAATTGAAATTCTCCGATTTTTTGCTTTGATAAAATTTTTTACTAAAAGTAAATGCATAAAAATAATTTATTTTGTAATTTTGTAGGTATTGACTTTACATAATGCAAAAAAAAATATTTTAGAAAAAATTCATATTCTTTTTGAAATATGATGATTGTTTATAGTTAAATGATTGTTTGGTGTTAAAAGTATCACACACGACCCACTCTGCACACTATACACGTCTATCTATACAGATACACCGAACCAACAAAACCTGGAGACACACGATGTTCGCTAATGAGTGCAATAATGCAATGTATTTATACGCCAATAAGTCAACAAGTGACGATACCCGCGTATTGTAGGGAAAAAATAATGAATGAATGTTTGCACAATATAAAGGGTAAACCTATTCCATTCACGCGAATAGGTCAACCCGTAATCACCGTTGTACATAATACACATTATTAGTGTCATGCATCTACTATTAGTTATGACCACTGCAATGATTTGAGCATCATACAGAGGGATTCAAAAGGCTTCATCTGGTCACCAATTGATATCATAGCTCAGAAATCTGAAATTGTATACCTATACCGTTGTAAGGATCAGATAGCCGAATTTATTTTCGTAATTTTTTTAAATGTTTGTTGAACATAAAATATGCATAATCTTATACTCTTGTAGGCATTTGTATTGTTTAGCGAAACGCCTAAAGTTAAAGTATCTATTTAAGTATTAAGACAAATAAGGGTATAAGTATCCCTGTCACTTATGTGTGTAGGTATAAGTGTTGGGTCATATCGAATATAAAGCTTAACGTTTCGCAACACACTGTTCATAGCAGCTTAATTGTCTTAAGGATATTTATTACTTCATTCTATCCCTGCAGGTGTTTAATCATTTTTAAAATAAATAGGAATTTTGGAAATCGAATCAAGACCGTGGACGGTGATTATAATTGTGCACGAATTATACCACTGATGTATGCTTACCAAGTAATAAGTATCGAAAACGTTAAATATGTTTCAAGTATAAACAGCACTTCGTGCATATATGTTTTAGAACCGACACTGTCGAGTTTCGTGATTTAATTAAAAATCAGTTATTTTAATATTCGATTCCAACATAGATATATAATAATACATACAAAGTGGTTTGATAATCAAATTTCAAAATACAATTATAATCCTTGTAAACACGGAACGCGCATATTATTATTATAATACTCGTAGGTACAATATTATGTATTCCACAGACACTAAATCCAATTTGAATAAAACCCCATGTCTAACGCACTCCGCACACTCAAGCCCTTTATTGTTCTATAGGTATTTTAATATCTGTATTTTGTATTTATTTCGTTTGATATAATGTACAACTCCACGAATAGTATCTATATCTACTGTAATAAATAATAATGCATACGCGGTACTATGATAGAATTGTGCTACATATTATGTGCATTATGCTATAAATAAATTTGATCAGGGTCGAACGGAAGAAAGGTCCATGTGCTCGAAAAATATTAAATATCGCATGAATATTATATAATATAATAAAGTGCTTGAAATAAGCTTATTAAAAAACGGAGAAGTTTTGTTTTCCCGTTTTCATTACAGAGATTCTCGCTAAACGGAGCAACGAAATATTATATACAAACAGAAAATACAATGGGAAAAAATCAATTTCGACTTGACTCAAATAATTATATGTTTTATATAATATACCTATAATACCTATTTGAATTTTAAAATAATATTATATAGCGACGATAAAACTCAGGATTTTTTACTTTGTCTTAATAGCTCTAAATTAAGTACACTTTGTTACAGTTACATACAACGAAATTGCAATTAACAATATTTTGTGTTTAACGAAATATTTTTGAGAACCAAACCTAATTAGAATCATATTTATTAAATTATATTTAACGAAATTCACTATAATAATATGTTTGTTGCCCTCTAGACTTTATTACATAGAACCTTCGCTGAATATATTATTCAATCGATCACTGGCAAATTTTTCTTTCATTATATACATTTATTCTATTTTTTTTTTTTTTTAATTTTGAAGTGGCTTTAATTATATATTTTAAGACTTTTCTAAATCTTAAATGCTTTTAACATTTAAAGAGTGTACTGTAGTGGTACATAGTTTATTTCAACTGAGTACAACGACTGTTTTCACTATTTATGATTATTAAGAAAATAATTTTTATGAGTATAAATACGGAAATTAATACTAATTTTAAGATTTTTGACTTTGTGTTATCTAATAGTCCCAAAATATTTGGGGTTATATACCTAACCTATACACCAAGTTTAATAATACAAAAGCAGAGAAGCTACTCTTTAGAATTTCGATTTAGATTCATCATCGTTTCCAAACAATCGCCTTATTAAACATTTACACTGAAAAAGGGAGGATCTAATTTGAATGAAATAAGTTCGTGTCACCACAGAACACTCCTTAAATGTAATAAATGATTTAAACAATTAAAGAAGTACCTAAACTTAAATTTTTTTCAAATACAAATTTAAATAAATGAATTATTAAAGGGTAAAAGGGTGGTGAGTATATCGTAGGTAGATCACTCAGTGATTTATATACATATACCGGATATACCTATAGTGTTATGATGCGTAGTAGAGTGTCTATCAACAGGATCTGATCGGACAGACGTCGTTGGACGCGAATCGTGTAAGTTCACATGCCTGAACTTTAATATATTTACATCATAATGTTTCCATATTACTCGTGTATACTTACTCGGGCCAATACCATCGTAGAAGAAATCCCGGACGAATAGCGTGTTTTCATCTACTGCGTACACTGTTCCGCGGACACCATGAGCGATGCCCTTAAAGTACCCAATGTATCTTCCGTAATTGTCGTCCAACACTCTTGCGTCGCCTGAAAAATCATTTATACACGTTATAGACATTACATAAACACGGTACTGTTCTTACAAGGAATAAAAATGATGCAAATGAAATTAAACTTATAATTGCATAGTCGTACTAAACAATATGTGTATAATGTGTAAGGCCATAATACATGTATAATACCACATATAACGACCGTCAAGGTCGGGACTGTTTTAAATAAGTCATTATCATAATAGACGATCATCATGATATATTAGATATATTATTAACGAGATGTGACAAAAAACAAAAATTAAAAAATATTTCATGTAGCACTACCATGCTACATTATGTAAGAAATTAAATTAAATTTGATTTTTTTTTTTTTAAGTCGTTGATTTGCATTTCTCTGGAAATAAGCAAACGTTAAGATAATCCCTGTAAATGTATAATATTATAATGTACGGTTAGGAAGACATATAGCAAAATATATTGTTTATATTATTATTATTGTATTTTGTTGATGTCTGCACTAACTTACACAGAATTATATAAATGTATGCACCTCAACTTGAGCAGTATATTAAAATATTAAATCAATATTTTATTATTTAGTATTAACCAATAAATAATGCTGTTGAAGCCTTACATAATATTAATAAAAAAATAAAAGTAATACTAATATATAATGTCATTATACATTCGTTTGATTTTTGAGTTACAAAATATAAAACGTATGTGCTGTTGTGTACGAGTACATGACTGTATAATATATGATAATAATTAATAACTAAAACAAATTTTTTTTTGTATACAAATTGCACAATGTTTTATAAAAAAACCCTTTGCAAAAACTATAACTATTATGAATGGAAATGTTTAATCCGTATAATATCACCCATACGATTTTATCTTATTATATAAGTACTGTATTTATCATTTTTATACTGAGCGACTGCACAAAACCATAATATAAGTGATATACAATTATAAATTATAATCATAGTTAGTTCATATAGCGTATTTTAATCATCGATAAAAAAAAGTATAATATAACAGTATAACACACTTTCAATTTTATTAATTTATCTTTTAATATGCCGATGTACCGTGCTTAATACCTACCTAGATATAATAATAAGCCTGTTTTATTATATTGTGAGCACGACGGCAATATATGATAAAATCGATCGTATGTTGTGTCACAAGTATCGCAATAACAATATGGGCAAAATATTGTAATATTAATTTACAAAAATAACGGCGTTTCAATATAATATATTCGGTATTTCACAATCACGCATGTGTGATATCGGCCGATACGGTTCTATTTTTTGGTTACGCATGAACGACTTCCGTCGTCATGTATAAGTAGTAAGTACGTAATATCATAGTATTCAAGGGTACAGGCACGTAGCCAGGATTTTATTAAGAGGGGAGGGCCGGTGTCTGAATTGAAAATTTAAATAGAACTTGGTGAGAGGGGGGGGGGAGGACCATTCAGTGTTCACATAACTAATATAAGTAATTTTTGGATATGACGAAAACAGCCGCTGGATGAGCGCCTGTGAAATAAAATATGTGAGAACTGAGCTAAAGCTCAATTTGAAACGTAAGAAAAACAATTGTCATTTGGTTGATCAGATAACATATTATAAGAAAGTAGGTAAATGAGAAAAAAATCGATTTCACCTTTCTAGAAAAATGTAGTAATTTTTATTTGATATTTTAAATATAAATTATACTTTTATAATAATAATAATAATATGCAGATACACAAAATCATTGCGAGGATGATGAACTGATATTAGCTATTATATTTGAAGGATTGTATTAATAGCGATTATAAGCCAAGTGAGATCTCCGTGCATTGAGGACCTATAACAGGTATATAACTCGAGGGGAATATTATGCTTCAGCTTTTGAGGGAAACTTCGCGAACGTAATTCGATGTCTGTAAGCCAAAACAAACGTCGTGTACAACCGAATCAAAGTCACTACTATACGTCTATACTCATACACTTCGGTTTTGTATATTATTATACCGTCGGTGAACTTCATATTATAATATATATCTACAAATAAAACGATCTAACGCTTCATTGTCGTCGAATAAGACGCCCTCCGATTCGTTTGTTTGAAGAGTACAATGCGATGAAATAATATATTATATTATATTATTATAAAACGCCAACACGAACACTCTGTCAGAATAGACATTTGACGGAGAACTACATCACTCTCTCTCGAAAAAAAAAAAAACGACCACGCTGTAGACTGAGCTGCAGGCACGCGTAAGTACTCGCTCGCTGCGACGGGGTAGTAAACACACACACAATCGCCCGGGCGTGTACATACATATATATAATATATTATCGTCGTTTTCAATTTGCTAATGAGTCGAATATTATTTCGACGGAGGGATATTATGTATATGTATATACACACGCCGCCGGAGTAAAGGGTTGTTGCCGATGACGAAAGGGGGAGGGTCGGCCGATGCTGGGCGCGTGCGCGCCTGCGGGGTCGTCCGGCGGCGCGCTGGCCCGGCAGCTGCAGGTTTCTCGTCGCGTCTTCATTACTCAACGCCGGTCGCTCGGCAGCAGTCACACTGTTCGCCACCGGATATAATATATTATAATAATAATAATAATAATAATATATCTGTATATACAGGTAAACCTTGTCCACCCTCTCCCCGCGGAGCACCGGTGTAAATCAACTGCGAACAAGACTCGCTAGAAGTCTCATCGATTACGACGACGACGACAAGCACCGGCACCAGCTATATTATTATTATTATTATTATTGCTATTGCTACACCATAAGCTCCTTCAATCTCCTCTGACAACCGTCTCGTCGCTGTCATTAACGTCGGCTTCGCTTGCAAATATACACTGTGCCAAAAGTAAATCTATCCCTTTTCGGCTAGACCTTGCCCCGTCTCTCATCCGCCCGCCCCGCCATCGGTACAAAGCATCCGACAACCCGTCAACAGCGATCGCCGTATTCGCGTCATTAACTGCCGCACTGCGAGGCTCACCCGTTTTCTAAGACGATTTCAGGGTGAAGCGCCCTAGGCCTTTTTTATCAACAATAGAGACGATATGCTTTATTATTTTACCTACTCCAAATAGTTAGTCACATATTAAAGTATTTACATATGGTTTTTAATCAAGGTAGAACACCAAAATGATCAGATATTCAAGTCGGAGATTTGAATTTGGTGTTGGATTTTTATAGCTAATCTAGAGTCATGCGAAGAGCTGACTAGGGATAATAGAATTACAGATTGCATACACATGTTTTATTTTGACTATTATTTTTTCGCTTCATGGGCAATGGACTAAATCATTATATTATGATGAACTTACAATAAAAATATCGAACATTTTAAGCACTTAATAAGAAATCGTTTAATTTTGTGGGTGTATTTCATTATTTTTAGTGCATATTTCAGAATTAATGAAATTTGTATTATAGTAATGAAACGTTGTACATTGATTTGACATTTTAATCATGTAACCGTGTGATTAATGAATGACTATAATTATTTTTGTTCAGTCTATACAAGGTATCCTGTATTAATTTTATAATTCTTTAGATGTGAACCATAGATAATTAGCTGGATATTTTTTGTACATTTTTATTTTGCCTTATTAATTGTATAACTGCATACATATCAATTCTTTTTAACTTTTTTTAACTACGACAAGATTTTTAATTCCTTATTCTAAAACAGAATATTTTCTGAAGTACCTACTTCAATATATAAAAATTAAAATTTTGAAGCAGTAGCTTATGATTTATAACTGTTATAAGTATTTAAGGATTTGTTTGGAGAAGACGAGTGGTAACTATGTACGGTAACAATATTGGTCCACCATTCCGCTCATTTAAACCTTAAATACTTATAAGTTATAATAGTTCAAAATTTGATTTTCATAAAACGAAATACTCTGAATAATATTCTGCTTCTGGATATGAAATTAAAAATGTATTAGGGTATTATTCAAAAAAGTAAAAACTAAAAAAATGATAATGATGCAAAAATAGAAATTGTGGTTTTGTAATGTCTTACAAATTATGTGAAATATTTTCAAAAACGTTACTGTTTTTTGAAATAATGGGTGTCATACGTTCAATGGACCCCCCATATTATACTATATATTTAGTTTCTATTTTTTTTTGTAGGTACTTACACACTGAGGTGACGTTAGTGAACAGCTTCCTCTACAAATTATTCATGTGACTCTTTTATTATTTACCCTCCAAATTTACTTTTTGTTTTAAATAACAGATCGTTTATAACTTAATAAAAAAAGTACTTACAACATCATTAAAAATGTTTTTCAAATACAATATCGTAAGAGTGAGAAGATGTTATTGTCAAAAATTTGTGTTCGTTGACAGATCGCTTTTCTTCTGGGAAACAGCTGTCGTTATTAATTACGTTACGCTCGCGATGTGATTATTATGTACACCGAAACAATACACGGACAATACTATGAAACGACCGCTTCAGAACAATGCGAACGAGATTTACTTTTCGGGGCACACAATTAGTAGTAGTTAATTAATAATTACTCGGTATATGCATAATATAAAATTATTTCATTATTATATAACCAACCGATAAAAAAAGCATAATATACATTGTGATACTTGGTAATCGTGAGGGTGGCTAATAATTCTACCCCCCCCCCCCCCCAAAAAAAAATGTTAACTTTTGAACAGTATTATTTATACCTTCAATACAATATACTGTATAATAACAAGTTGGTTTTATTATGCTATTATTCATAAATTAGATTATTTTTTAGTTTATTTGATCATCCTTGTCTCGTCATCGCGGGAAAAAATGTATTATTACATTTTTTTTTTTTGTCTTTATAGTATAGTAATACATATTACGTTTGATTATTATTATAGTATTAATTATTTATTATTTATTATCACTTTTATGTATTAATGATTTTATGTTTATAAAATAATTTTTATCTAACCAAAAGTTACTACGTGAAAAAAATAAAAATATATTTTAAA